AAAGTCTCCCAAGAACTGCTGGCACATCCCAGTAAAGGAAAAGGAAAGGCGAGCTCTCTATGGTCCCTCTCTTACTGCGCTGGGTGCGTGAATCACCATCACTCACGCCAGTCGGTCTACCGGCAAACCTGTGCTCAGAAGCACACTAAACTGCAACAGCAACTTGAGGAGGTCTCTGGACGTTGTCACTACAAAGCACCAGGCTCCACCACAACTGTCAGTGTTGGTCTACTGTAACTCCTACCTCTGGCACCCTGGGAAAAAGGCCACAAAAATATGTGAAACATCTGAAAAGAAGCCGAACGGCTGCATGCCACGTGACGGGGCCCGGCCGCTCACCGGGGAGGGTCTTAAAGGCCAGCGATCAGATGGGGTTCCTGGCAGAAAGAACGAAGGCTTTGTTTTGTCTACAAAACGCACTTGCGCTCAGGTCCATTGTCTAGGTGACAGTTACGAAATCGGCAGCCATCCTTTGAAGCCTGGAATCCGACACGACGCTTCAGAGAATGGACCAGGACCAGGGTCACTCTGGGTCGCTGACAGCCGGCTAAACATTCCTGGACTGGTAACGTTCAGGTTCTCGCCTTCACATCCAGCATTAAGGCATTTGAAAATGATCCACGGCTGGAGCCAAAAACTCCCCCTAATCGCCCCCCCCCCCCAGCACCCAGGGGACCGGACGGCTACTGATGCAATTATATTAGTGCTAAATTTGTCACGGAACAAGCTGGGGATATGCAGTCAGAGGCACCCGGCTGCAGCGTGAGGGATGCGTTTGGGCTGCGGGTTTGCTGGTCTAGAGTCTACAAACACTGCCAAGGTCAGGAAAACAGTCTCCATGGGTGGGAGTGGGGGGGGGGGGGTTCACAACATGGTCATCAGTGCCCTGGGTCAACAGGTGGGCCCCCCCAGAGTTCCCACCCCGGTGTGGAAATGGGGAGGTGGGGGCAGCTTTGCATGCGTAAGAATCCGAGGCATTCCATTCTGTCTTATGCCAACCCCCCCCCCCCAAAATGGAGCCATCCAAGGAAACCACAGGAGCACATTCCTGTGCCAGCTGCACCTGCCTGGGGGGGGGGTGGGGGCGTGCAGCCTGCACGCTAGCCAATGTTAGCACTTAGCAGTATGGTGACAGGCTCCTCTGGCAACCCCCCATGCAAAAGAGCAAACTGGGAGCTGGGCAGCCCTCACGCACCAGTGGGACACGTAAAAGTGAGAGGCAAGGCAGCCAGTGTCCCATAAACACCCTCCATCTGCGTTCCATCAAACTGGAGCAAAACACTGAGCACAATCAGCCCCAACGCCCGGCTCCGGAAACACGGCACACTCAGCGAGCTCACGCCGCGGAGAAGCCATGGAGCCACCACCAAAACAGGTTTTATTGGAAGGAGACGACGACATTTGATACGACCACTTCAAACGTTTAATAAAAATTGACACAGAGCAGTCTTTTAGAACACAAACCAAGGCTACACCCAAGGCTGCAGCATTTATAAAATCAAAAAAAATAAAATAACTATTCTGGGCTCTGGTTTACTTATCAAGGGTACACCCACACAGAGAGACAGGCCGTCCGAAAAGCTGCCCGAATCAAACCTCAAGACTCTTATGCATGAGACATTTACAGCTTATTGGTTAGTGACCGAGCCAATCGTTTTCCCCGGTAATGTTTCAGAACAAGCGCCCCCCCTAGTTACATTTCTGTAAGGAGTGGGAGGCTACCTTAGCACAGAAGTATAAATCAGCCTGGCTGTGAGACCACAGAGGCAGAGTCTGTGTGTGTTGCTCCTGATTACGGGTAAACTGGCGTGTCACGTCATCACAAGACGAGAACGGCAGGAGAGACGCAGGCCTCAATGGGCGGCCTGAAGTAAACGAGGGCGTGAGCAGCCCGGGCACCGGCTCCGCAGGCCACATGCTGGGCGGGCACTTCCGGGAAGGGGCGGAGCTTGGCAGAGCCGCATCACACGGGCAGCCACCAGCGGGCGAGACGTAAACCAATACAGGGTGTGGGATCACGCAAGGAAGGAATTCAGGGAATGGAGGGCTCTCGATTTCCCCCGATACGCAGACTCTGCTCCCCCTGCGACCCCGGAAACATGACTGCCAGTCCACACTGTAAACAACCGGAAGGGCCAGCCGGTCATTTAACACAAGAAGGTGACACAAAGACAAATCGGGTGACAGACGTGCGAGGGGAACCTCAGCGGGTCAGACTGAAGCACTAGGCGACGTCATCTTTGTTCCAACCCCACGCTTCAAGGTTCCTCTGACATTATGGGGTTTCCCCGCAATGGTGAGAACATGCCACCATTACCCTCCCCCAGCACTAACAAAACAAACATATTCAAGGACAAACCCTAACCCTCACAGCCACGTTATAAAAGCAGCCCCAACGATCACGCAGCACGTGATGCTGGCCAGGAAGAACCAGTCTAGACTGTCAGGATGTATAGGAACAATCCGGGATTATTTACACCCCCATACCATCCACTCACCTCCACGGGCGGGACACAGATCCCAGGGAGCGACAGATGGGGCAGCCCGAGCTGGAGGCTACGGGCACACGGGCGCCCGGCATGAGGGCCACGGGCACTGGGAATGTTAGCCAGGCGCCAAGCCAGGTGCACGTTCACCAGCACCACGGCGCGAAACTGGATCTCACCCAGCACCTGCTGGTTCAGAGTGGGGGCCTGCACAGCATGCGGTGTTTCGGGGGCCGGCGGGGGAAGCTTCAAAGCACAGGAAGGGGCGGTCCAATCCGGTCAGACATAACTGTGTTGGGGGGCAGGGGGGGGGATAAGCAGAGCCAGGGACCGGATGCAACGATGTCAGGACAGCTCTGAGGATCCGTTACCCAGTCCGGCTCAGCAGCACGCCATGAACCATGTGATCACACACCACCGACGGGGCCGTCCTGTTGACCCCCAAAATCAGCATCATCTGGCCATTACCAGAACCCCCCCCCCCCATCCATCCCCTGATTTCTGCCATCACCCAAGTTTCTGGGCTGAATTTGCACGGCAAACCTCACACGCCCAGACACGGCTGTGGACCGGAGTATGAATCCCACAAGCCCAGGGGAGCGGCGGCCATTTACACTGGACCTTTCAGATTAATGACTTCCCAGTGAAAGCAACACTGCAGCGAATAAAAACAAGCCCATAAATCTCCCTGGAAATGAGGGTGTTCCCGTTCAATCACTGGCGAAAGGGACCAAGGAAGCCAGAACACATCCCATGTCTTTTCCCCAAACCCGACACTGAGCACTGCATCAGAGCCACGGCCCTGGCAGTCAACACCACATGGCGTGCGGGACTGACTTAATCCTGTCCAAAGCGCACAGAGTGTGAGATGTGAAAGCTCACGTGCCCCCCTGCAGCGTTGTGACGGCCCAGATCGTTCACGGTCACCAGTCCTGAAGCCCAGTAGGGGTCATCGCAGGGGCCATGAGAACCGGACCACAGGAATATTAATAGAACACGCTCAGCTGGACGACACTGGACAGGACCATGTCACATGGAAGGAGTGGGGAAACTCTGGTATTTCCAGGTCACCCACCCGCAAAACCCCAGGAATGAGAGCGGGACCTCCACCAAGCCTACTGGGGGGGCTAACCTAACTCAGCTGCAGCCAAAGTGCAGCAACACAAGGTCCAGCCTTCACTCCTGCCACCACCCCCTCAGTGTCCCCTTGTGACAAAATGCACACTCTCTGACAGATAGGAGAGGCTTAAAGGTGCCATCCGCGGGAGATGAGAGAAGCCACATGGACACATTACCCATAATCCCCTGTTGTGACTGTTAACCCTACTCCATTTTCTCGTGATGATTAGAGAGAAATCCCAACCAGAGAAAAACTGGCCCGAGATCCATGATCCGGGGTTCACATTTAAGGGGACACCTCCGCCCTTTAACCTGGGCTGGGTTGATGGCAGTATTATTCTGTAAGAACGGCGAAGCTCAAAGCGGTACCAGCTGAGGGTGCCGGGCCCGTTGTGGCCAACAAGCAGGACGAAGCCCAGACTGCTCACCACTTCACGGCTGGGGGATTATATCTTACAAAAAAAGTGAATTCTGTCCCACAGAACGTTTATGGAAAATCATCTGGAAGCTGGATTACCATAGAGACACCGCGCCATTGTACAAACCGCGCCTCCACCAGGCATCGCCAGAGGCAGGGGTGTACCAGCGCGGCTGACGGCGGCCCAGGGGCGATTCCGACACCCAGCCAAAAAGGTCCACCCAGAAACGGTGCAGGCGCACACTCCAAAGAAGAAAACTGCCAAGTGAGCAAGCGGCAGCTTAAGGTGGCCGAATTCCCGAAAAACTGGTGCAGAAATGTACTGGGTTAAAACCACGGAATGCAGCTGGGAATGTTTCACATGGCCTGGATGTGGGAGTGACCCCCCCCGCCCGGCCTCAGCAGGGCCCTCTGTGGTCACTGCGTTTCCCTGGCTGGCGTCCGCGCAGTGACATCAGGGGACTCAGGCCGGACACTCGCGCCGGCTGCCAGCCTGCTCTCCCAGAGACAGCTGCAAGTTGGGCACCACTGCCCATCACGGGACCTTTGGTGGGGCTCAAAAACGTTCCACCCCTCCCCACCCCACTCTGGCCTTCACGCCTCCCCAGGTGGCTTTTCCGTTTAGACGCAAAACAGCGAGTCTAAACACAGCTGTAGGCTGTCCTTTGTGGGCAGCTACGGGGGAGGGACGTGGGGAAAGGGGCTCTGACAGAGTTGGCGGGGGTGGTCCGAATATCACTGGTGCTTCTATGTAGGGGAGTCTGAGTCTGTGAATAAAAGCTGGAAACCAGAAGAGGCGTCCTGATAAATGACGTGCGTAAATGCCATGGAGGTCACGGTCTGATTGGAGTCGCGGCAAACCGGAGAAACGACTAGAAACGGCTCCACCCAAAGCAGCGGCAGGGCCCTCAGGGCGAGCCGTGCCAAGCGGGGCTGCGGGTACGAAACCACAGAAACCACGAACGGCGGGGCCTTACCTCATCGTCTGGAGGATGCACAGGGAGGGCAGAGAGGCCATTCAGGTGTGAGGGAGGCGTAGCCAGGAGACGGGAAGGAAGCGGGAAGAGAGAAGCGTTAAAAATAAAGACAAGAACAGAGAATTGTGGACAGTTCTATGCCCCTGTGGGCTGAAACAGACCAACATAATATTTAATCCTAATTGCCGCAGCAAGAAGCCCAATTTAAACTGTGGCGGTCCTGGCCGGGCTCTGGAGTGCTGCAGCCGGACACCATTACATCACCAGCGCCATGCTACCATTGGCTGATGGGGCAGAGTCGACCGCGAGACTCCCGACATCATGGGGCCCTGGCAGAGTGGAGTGACAGGGACACAGAATCCGTGTGGCTCTCTGCAGAACAGCCCTGATTAAGGGACGCTGTCAAATCCACTCGGATTTGAAAGCCCCCCAGTGTGGGGTAACTGGCACCGTCTCCCTCATTCGTACAGGGTTGAGTCAACCCCCCCCCCCGACGGCCGCCTCCCACTATAAGCAGGTTCAGGCTCCCTGCTGCTGTCAGGTCACAGAGGCAGACGCTGTGTGCCTGTGGATGGCAGCTAACAGAACTCTCTGTTTATTTACTTACGCTTTCATGGGCTTTGAGGGGGGGGGGAGGGGGGAGCGCGGGGGGAGACCGTGACAAAGAAACTGCCATCATGCGTAAAACCCAGCAAGCGTTATTGCTGACACATTCCTGCAGCTGCGGCCCCCCCACAAGCACCAGACAAACACACCGCGGCAGAGATACCCTGGGTCAACAGAGACACCCCCACGCTAATTAGCCACTGGAAAGGGGGCTGACTGAGTCGCTGACATTGGTGCCCACACCGGGCTTGGCTGATGTCCACCGGATGGGACCACCATCTGAAGATGGGGGAGGAAATTAAACTGGAACACTGTCTGACCCCTTCTGGAAGAGATTGTCTAATAAGGACAGCCTTATTACCTGCTGCACTGGAGGGAAACTCACCATTACAGCATGAAGGGCCTGCAGAATGTCACCAGTCTAAACCATGTCACTAATTACCATCCCCACAAGGATCAATGACTGATTAGCTGAAAGGGCTAATAAATGGCACCTTTATTGATTACACTGACCAGTCTACTCTCGCCTCACACTTTAGGTCTGATACCACCAACCGACTGCAGACATCACCTCCGAGCGTCCCTCGTCCCTGCAGAATCTGCCTCACTCATCACCATCAGCACTGATCTCCACGGCTTGCAAAGGATTCACTAGAGGTGAATATCAGTCTGCATCAATTTGAACCTTATGCAGCTGTAGTATTTAAAGTATTTATAGATAAGAATTTCCGAGAAAGACAATAAGCTTAGTTTTGGGCATGTAAGCTTGAAGTATGAGACAGACAAAGATTAATCACTGTTGCAGATTTGGGGGCTTTTCCATCCAAGAAAAGCCCTTTTAACCAATGATGATTACAAACCTTGCATTTCCAGAAGGGATTTTAACACCCTACAGGGTTAATTCTTGTTCAGAAAAAGCACAACTGTACATTTAACAATTTTAGCGAACTTCCTCCAATGTACTGGCTCAACAAGAATTTCCAGTGTGAGAAAACAATATCTGCAAATATGATAAATGGGCGATCTGCTCACTGGGTCTGCTGGGGAATTATTGCAATACTTGGGAAGAACACGACTTTTTAACATTCTTGAACATGACCAGGGGTCAAGCTGCATCACTGGACTGCAAACAAAAAGTTAAATGCACCAAACAAACAAGGGCCCCGTGACATTTTCTTCCCGAGCTCCGGGCCGCTCCTCCGGAGACCCGGTCTGCCGGGACGCGCCTTTGCCCCGCTCCGCAGCGCCGTCTCCCGCACGGCTCCCCATCACTGATCTGATTCACAGCCCCATCAGCCGGGACCCATGGCGCATCATGAACCAGCTCTGGTTAGACGCAAAAGTTTCCATCAATCCTGCGCGCTAGCCGGTTACTCTCAGCGGTCCGAGCACCTTTAAACGCACGGCAGCTTGGGGCGGGTAAAATAATGGCACCCAGATGAATACCGGCTTTACCGTAATTTAAGCGGAGTTACCGTCAGGCGCAATACATCGCAGGAGTGTAGCTGGACCTCTGGGTCTTTTTCTCGGGCTGCAGCGCCGCATAAACACGGGCGCAGATAACATCGATGTTCAATAAATATTCTCTGACCCTCAACTACAGACTGGTCAAACAAAAATGATGAAATAAATCAGTACACAGAAACGGACGCGGCGTTTTGGGACCGCAGAACACGTACTAAAAGCAGCCCCTAACCGAAACGCACCTGGACTATAGGCTCCCTTTTCGTACCAGTATAACGCGGCTGTAACCCGTTTACCTGCATGGTTGCAATCTACTGCAGAAATTTCGACAATTTACAATAAACCAACGTACTTACCGTGATTTACCACGGAGCTCCGAAACCTGCTGTTGATTGACAAATTATCCATGCTGCTGTCTCCCAGTTACTTTACGGGGCGAAACGCCGCTGCTTTGCTGCCGTTTATTTGCCTGCCGTATTTCCTCTGCGTTTGCAGGGAGCCGGACGCGCCAGACGGGGATTAAACGCCAGAGCCTGCGACCTACGGTGCTCTGCGACTGCGGACTGCGAGGTTCTTCGATTGCAAACTGCGCCTGCGACCTACTATGTTTTGCAACTACGGACTGCGAATCAAGGGTCTGCGACTGCGGGCTACGACTGCGCAGACGGGCTGCGCGCAGCCAGGACAGCCTCTGAAATGCAGCAGCTGCGTGACGTCGCACGGCACAAAAACAACAGCACATGGGTGACCGCCATGGCTGTCTATGGACGAACTTAACAGCGCAGATCGCAGAATCACATTCCATGGCGGATAATTTGAGTTTCGTTGCACGGCTGTCGCTTTTGGACAAGGCGGTGTATATTTCCCAGTTTGTGCAGCGGGGTGTTTGCTTGGGGCGACTCGAACCGCTTACCTTGCGGAATAGGATCACTGCGGCCGCCAAGTCTCCGCAGGTCTCGTCGACTGGGTGAAATGAAGCGAATATACTTTAAAATGTCATTAGTCTGTCCGCTCGGAAAGCCGCACGGAGCGTATGTTCCCGGGGGTGTATGCAGGGGCACACGTGTTAGGACCATAACAATAACACAGGAATGCGGAGATCGCCTCATATTTGTGTAGATGCGTAACAGCAACACACCCAGTTTGACAAGTAATATAACCGTCATTCGGATAATCAGGTGTGTTTGCGCTGCGTCAGAGAGAAAATATGCTCGAAATTTTCAGTAATGTAGCCGCAATGTATATCCCCGACCGCTTATCCAGTATAGGGTTGCGGTAATTTTATACTAAATATATCTATCCTTTGACTATTAATACATTGCGAGCTGTTAATTTCCTGTAGTGCAAGGAATGTGCGTTCAAAGATACCGGCGTAGAGCTTTGCCGAGTTTGGCCTTATGGCTAAATGAGAGATTAGCCGCTTTTAAGAAAAGCAACACGCCCTTTGAAACAATGCCTCGTTTTTTTCGTTTTACTACACAGCTGTGTTGGCCTCTCGTAAGTTTTTGTCCTTCGTGTACAGAGGAAGAGCTTTGAAGATCAAAATATGGATACATCGTATTGGCAGCCAAAACAGGTACATAAACATTTGTGTATGTTGGTAAGTGAAATTAAGGAAACCACGACATGTTGAGCAGCGGACAGTTTCCGGATTCAGCGATAAATAATAATCACACAGGAGATTAATTTAAGGAGTGGCGATTTTATTCCAGCCGTGATGTACAGTCATCTCCTTGATTTTTCAATAATCACTCTCCTGATTAAAGTGCAGAAATGTTTTCACAGCTTGTGTAAAAATTAAAACAAAGTGGCAATAAATAAGGATGACAACATTAACAACAAAAATCATAAACCTCAAATGTTAAAAAAAAAAAAGAATTATGTTTGGAACCGACAAACGTGGTACACAAAGACAACAGATGGAAATTGAGCAATGATACAAATTCTCTTCTGACTTATACAAAATCATTTTAAACTTGTGTCACAAGTCCTTGGCAAGGCTAGCTAAAACAAAGGCACGTCAATTTTCAGAGGTAATGATCCTTTGTGAAGAGGAGCCCAGCACTCACAGACATGCCAAAAAAAGATTCACACTTCTGGGTGTGATGGAATGGAACCAAAATAGCCGTGAACATGCTGATGCTCTCGCACACCTCGACTCACCCAGAGGTTCGTTCCTTAAGTGCATCACAAACAGAGGTTTTGGACAGTGGGATACTGTTTTCCAGTTGGAGTATTCTGTTCTGCAACATCAGTAACTTAATTGCTTTACCATCCTGTGCAAGAGCGTTTGTTTTGCGTGCTGTATTAAGTGCTTTCACAATGGAGGACCAGGCCCCAGATGGGTAAAATGTACAGTGTAGGAGTCATGGTGCAGAGTGACACGGCCATCGCCAGCACAGAGCATCTTCTTCAAAGGATCTTTCTGCTTGGGGACAGGGACTGCAGCTCACTCCAGATCCATGGCAAAGTGGAAAGGAACCCATTTAAGGAATCGGAGTATGTTCTAGGCCATTTAGGGTGTCTGAGTAGGGAACATGTGATGTTCGCCATGAAACCTTCCCTGGGGGGCGTCCCGTAGTTCATAATTAGTCTGGAAGAGCAAAGCTGGTAATAAAGCTTGTGACGGGGAAACTGACGTTCTGTCACGTTGCAATGCATACTACAGTAGATGAGAGCAATATTAACACCACTTCAAATCTGGATTACAGTAATGTCAGAATTCCATAAGAAAATGAGGTCTTAGGATAAGGACATACTTAGACAGATCTGCGTGCCATTATGAAGGCAATGTCCCTTGTCAGGTTGACTGACATCGGTTATCTGATGACTATTGGATACGTCCCAGGAACCACGGCCTCCCAAAGCTGTAGAAGGTAACTGGCTTGTGGAACGGACACCCTGCCACCTCCAGCTTGGTTCCTCTCCGTTTGCCACACAGAGTAGAGATGCTGCCCCACCTCTGGAAACCCCCCCCCCCTCCAAATGGGGAAGGCTCCGTCAGACTTTCATTCATTTACAAAAGAAAATGGTGCACTCTCATCTTCCATAAACAAAACAGAAAGGAGGAGGAGATGCCCAGCCTCGCGGACACTATAGTGCAAACAAAATCAGATAAAAAAAATATATATACACAAAAAGGTTTTGAGTGGTTCGGTTGAAAGAAACGGTTGCTGTGGCTTTTCCTGTCCCCTCCTCAGCCAATCTCCGCTGTCTGGATACACTTTTCCGTCCTAATTTTTGCTTTTATATCGCTGTTTACTTGTTATTTTTTCTCCTCTTGCAGGAATAGCTCGTTTGAAAACAGAAGCACTAACACCTAGCCTATTTTTGTGTGTGTTTTTTCTTTAAACCATGCAGAGAGGGCTTGCTATGTACAGTACGTTGACATTTACAAACATATTTACAGCCAGCGGGCTTGTGTAAACAGGAAGCTCCACACAGGGGTGGGGCTGGTGGGAGGTGGGGAGACACAGACATCAGTGAGGCAGCTTGTGAGGGACCTCCCCCTGCACAAAGCGCCCTCCGCGATGCCCTAGGGAACAGCAGTGACAGCGCTGCGCTAACACATGCACGGTGTTCAGAAGCTGCAGCTTCTGTTGGGATCTGCTTCTAAAATACTCTTAATTGTGGAGGCCACCTGTTTCTCAGCAAAAGTGGGTCTGTGGGGCTGATGAGAGGCTCTCAGTGCCGACCCCAGAGTGACCGATATACGCTTCGTTACGAATTCGGTGATTACAATGGACGACATCTAGAAACCTGATTAGCCACATATGCAGCACAGAAGGCCTCCCTTCCCCGGGCAAGTCCACAGCTCACAGTGGGAGAGCCAGCGGCCAGGCTGAAGTAAGCGACCTAACACCACACCCTTCCCGTCTGCCGGTCCGCTGGATCGTTCCCCACAAAACGGCATCATGGCACGAGACACCGCAAGCAGCGCTGTGGGCTGCAAGGGAAAGAACATGGGGGTCGAAGTGCAATGGTGTGCGTGTGGGGAAGCCTGGGATGAGGGGAGATATCCTCCGTCACTACGCAGACTGTGACAGCACCAACAGGAAGTGACATCAGTACTACCTGGGCCTGCTCTTACGAAGAACTTGCTCCAATTTGGCTTTTGCCTGTTTTTTTTTTTCCTTTTGAAATTCTCATCATGTCTCTTAATAAAAATATGGCAATGTAGCATCGATATACAAAATATTTCTGTACATATACAATATTTAAAACATTTACATTACTCGATTCCATTAGCTATATACACGGATGATGTGTGAACAGATGACCAGAACTCCATAGGGACACTGTTACAGATGAGCTGAGGTGACAGTCAGGAGATCTGCAGACAAATGGAACGTCTGACAAATGTGTGTTAGCTTCCTCAGCTAGTCTGACACATTTGGTGGCACCACTGCTGAAGGAACACAAGGGGGCAGAAGTGAGACACCAAGGTCATCTGTTCCCTTCTGTCAGATGCCATCCAAAAAGAATTGCATCCTGCGTTACCACAGAAACGGCCATGTCATTTAAAGTCCTGACTTCCTGCCTGTTTTCCAAATGGAAAAAAAAAAAATTGCAAAAGGTATTAAATGACACCAAGAGACGTCACCCATAAGCACACAGCACGGGAATACAGCAGAACAGGCCAAAGCTGAACAAGTAGCATTTGTGGGCTAAAACACAAACCCGAGACGTGCAACAGCACAAACTGGCCATCAAGATCGTGAGATAGATTCGCAACATACACTATCACGGTGCTCATCACACAGAAGCTGGGACGAGAATGACGTTCCAAGGTCTAGGACTGGCCCAAAACCACGACAATGGCTTGAGTGGGATTTGAAAGAACAACTTGAAGCATTCTGGGCAGCATCCCAGGAAAACTGCCCTGACAGTGATTGCCACAGCACCCCCTTGTGGACATCATGCCAACATTCGTTATCTATATGCCCTCAGTGACTGCCATGGCACCAGTCAGCACTGCTATGTGTGATGGGGCTCAAGCCCCTCTAAAACCTCTCAATCTACGTCCTTGGGGACTAGCAGAGACCCGTCACCTCCAGCCCCGTCCCCCCCGGAGGACGCCCTACTCGGGCTGCTCTGGGTGCGTGTGTAGCCCGTTGTCCGAGCTGGGGTGGTCCTGCCAGAATTTGCGGTGTACTTGGTCCAGCTCAGAGGTGAGTGGCAGTCGGATATCCAGGTGCATCTTTAGGTTTTCCAGCCATTCCTCCAACTTGGCAAATGCAGGTCTGCAGGATGAACAGCCGCTCTGTTACACCCCCCCGCACATCTCTCCCAGCTATCCACAGCCGTGCCGATCAATACCATTAGCTCTTTAGCATGCCCAAGAGTCCCACAGCAAAAATTCATTAAGCAGCTGCTTACAGAGAGACTGGGACCTCTCTATGTGTTTTGTGTTCGAAGACCATGGGTCTCTACCAGTTATTTTTGTATGGCTGTTTACAAATTTGGCTACTGTAAGGCTATTTCTTGAAGCATTTCTGCTTGACCCAATGACCTTTTGGTTACCAGGTCATATTCTTTGAAGCCACCGGCGAGCTGGTTCTTACCGCTTCTCGGCATCAAGGTCGCAGCACATGACGGCCAGGGGGAAGAACGACGAGGGGCAATCTGCAGGGTAGTAGTGCTCCAGGAAGCCCTTGACATTGAGCCCGAAGTCCATGCCCCGGGGCAGGTAGTCTGGGTCTGCATTCACCCTGCCAATGATCTTCCAGGGAGAGGGTAGACATGGGCCAACGTCAGGCAAGCAAAGAAGCGGCAAGGCTATTGGGAGACTGCGTTCAACTTCCTGGTGAGCACTAACCACATGAGGAGAGCCTCCCTCAAAAATTGGTCTGTAATGACCTGCTTCTTAAAACCACTGTGGTATTTTCAGATTTTACAGTGCCATGCAGACAAACCCTTGGAAACTGCCTTTTACGGTCGCCATCTTGGTACTCGCTATTAAAGCCAGCAGCTGGAGCCATTTTAAAACCTTAACGCCCAGCCCAAGATAATTCCATAGCTTTAGCCTTGAGTTCTTACCTCACAGAGCATGATACCAAAGGAAAAGATGTCCACCTTCTCATCGTAGCTCTTTCCTGTGGGTGGCAGGTGCAAAAAGACAAGGTTAAATTAGAAGGAACATTATGAACACTTTTGGTCTATTAGCTGTAATCTACCCAAGTCATTGGTTCTATTGTTGTTGATTCAGAATTAATTGGTCATCAATCCTAGCTGACCAAGATGGTTTGGAATCGTTGCGAAACTCATTTCCCTTTGGAGGTACAGGAGATTCATCAAGAGCAGGAGCTCTCACCCTGGATCATCTCAGGGGCCATCCAGTAGGGGTTCCCCACAACAGTGTAACGCTTCCGCCGGTCTGGCTTCTTCAGGCCCTGGATTTTGCCCGTGGACAGCCTGTCCGGGTTTTTGTCCTCCACCATGAGTCGGGCAAGTCCGAAGTCAGCTACCACCACACTGTTGTTCTGTGGACAGAGGCAGGAGACATGGGGTCATGAACGTCACAGCCACACCTGACCCACTCACAAAGCGTCTAACCCGAACCCTAATATCAGGAGCCCCAAAAATAAGAAAGGTTTAGACCTTAAAACACACCCACCAAGGCTAAGCCATCTTACACCTGGAGTCTCATGCATTAAAACATGGGATCACCAGTTAACCAGAACTGGTGATGTGTGAGACCAGGGGTTGGAATCAGAACTACTGAAAGCTGAAGCGTATCATAACAAAAAGGGGGTTTGTCTGTCAGCATGTCAGACGGGCGTGTCGGCTTAACCCCCATCAGAAAAAAGCAAAAGAAAATTTCACTGCATCTAAACACTTGCCTCTCTGACGAGACAGTTGTGGGAATTCAGATCCCGGTGAATGATATTCATGGAATGCAGGTACGTCTGAAAGACAGAAACAAAATCACAGATACAGTCAAGACAAACCCTTAAGAAGAATGTTGAAGATGTTCTGGTTCAGCTGGCCATTTAACCCTTGGTGTGTTGAGTAATCTGGGTGAACCTACCATATACTAATAACTATAACTATACAACAAACTCTTAACAAATCTCATTCATTTTCACACGAGATATCTTCTTTCATACACTACATGGAAAAACGTATTGGGACACCTGGCCATTACACCTACAGGAACTTTTATGACATCCTATTCAAAATCTATAGGCATCAGTATGGAGTTGGTTCCCCCTTTGCAGCTATAACAGCTGCCACTCTTCTGGGGAGGCTGTCCACAGGATTTTGGAGTGTGTTGGTTTATCCAGAAGAGCATTTGTGAGGTCAGGCACTGATGTTGGATGTGAAGGCCTGGCTCACAATCTCCACTGTAATTCATCCCGAAGGTGTTCGATGGGGTTGAGGTCAGGGCTCTGTGGGCCAGTCAAGTTCTTCCACACCAAACTCTCCCAACCATGTCTTTATGGACCTGGATCTGTGCACTGGGGCACAGTCATGCTGGAACAGAGGGGCCTTCGCCAAACCGCTCCCACAAAGAAGTACAGAATTGTCCAAAATGACTTCGTATGCTGAAGCATCAAAAGTTTCCTTTACTGGAACTGAGGGGCCCAACCCCTGTAAAACAGTCCCATACCATTATCCCTCCCCAACCAAATCGTACAGTTGGCACAGTGCAGTCAGGCAGGTAACGTTCTCCTGACATCCGCCAAACCCAGACTCATCCATCAGACTGCCAGACAGAAAAGCGTGTTTCTGCTGTTCCTAAATGCTTCACTTTGCAATAAATCCACTTACAGTTGACCGTGGAATATCTAGTAGGGAAGAGATTTCACAAACTGGCTTATTGCAGAGGTGGCATCCTATGACAGCACCACGCTCAAATTCACGGAATGACTTCAGAATGACTCATTCTTTCACAAATGCTTGTATCCCTGACTGAATGACTGAGTGCTTGATTTTATACACCTGTGGCAATGGGTCTGAATGAAACACCTGAATTCAGTGATTAAGAGGTGTGTCCCAGTGCTTTTGTCCATATAGTGTATTCTGCAGCTTGGTATGTGTGACCTACTGACGGCCACAAGGGGGCAGTGAGATGCAGGGAACTTACCATGCCTGCTGCGATGTCCCTGGCGAAGCCCACTCGCTGGTTCCATGGGTACTGGTTGTCCTGTTTACAGACAAAAAGGGGGCATTTCTCAATGCATGAGCCTGTTCACTTTGGGAATTACACTTTCTGCTGAACTGCACGCTCACTCGCATGCACGAGCACACGCAGACACGGAAGTGCGCGCTCACCATCTTCTTGATGATGTCTCTCAGGGTGCCGCCTTTGATGTACTCCGCAATGAAGTTGAGCCGCTTGTCCTTGTACAGGACTCCAATGAACTTCAGCACATTGGGATGGTCGAGGCAGCGCATCACTTTCACCTGGTGGAGAGCTCACACAGTCAGATATCAAGTATGCGTCGGTTGCATCCCTCGCCAAACGAGACCAATCCCATGATTCATTGCACCCCAAGTTCGTTCCTGGGAGGCGAGTTAGCGAGACTGGTCTTGCCGAGATCACATGTACGATCTTTGCGTTCTGGGTACTGAGAAACACTACTTGTTTCACTGCACTGCTACTTGTGGTCATTTTGTGAGTGTGACACTGTGGTGGGGGTTTAAACTACAACTCACACACAGTCTGTGGCTGAGCAGCCCCCTCACGCCGCTAGCTGGAGGTGACACACGCCTGTATGACGCCTGCCGTTGCCATGGGTACAGCGCCAATTAACCCCCTGTTGCCTTTGCTCTGTCCCCAGCAGGCGAGCTCCTGGCTGCAGGCTCCGGAGGTGATGCTATGTCACAGCTGACTGGGCCAGGCCTTGTGGGCATCCGCATGGTGCACGACAAAGCAGCCTCGCGAAAACCTCAAATTGAAAACACGGACGTCTGGGCGGCGGCTCTGCCTTCCCAGAACCTATTTCTCGTTTGCAAAGACTGGAGGCAGCATAGAGAAAAACGTCAGTTCTTCTTTCCTGTGGTTTATTTTATCTTGTACCGCTCGTCACTCGACTTTCTAAATGTGGCCTTCATTTTGCACGCGAATGTCCCACAAAACTTGGCCCCTTATCTGTGTGATGAAACTCTTCCTGCAACATGGTCGTTCAAAACAGGCCTCGATGACCCACGTCACACGGTGTGGTGCACCCACCCTCTGACCTCTGACCCCTCCACCCTCCGACTTGTGACCTCCAGCATCCTGCTTACCTCCTTGAGGAAGGTTCTCTGAGTATCATCATCAAAGCGGATGAGCTCCTTCATCACCATCACCTCCCCTGTCTCCCGGTGTGTCACCTGTGTGGGGGCGCATAATAGTGATGTCATCAAGGGCCGCCTGGTTATACCTGCTCTTTTCTAACATGGATAAAGGAATGTGTTGCACCCTTTCCTGTTCCCCTGAACTCCATCCGCCCAGCGACGTTTATAATGGCAAAAACAGACGCTCACAGAACTCTAACCCTGTCCTGCTCGTCTCAGCAAGAATGTCTCACCATGTTCGAAATCGAAAAAAAGAGGAAGTTTGTTGAAACCAGAATTTAAAAAAAAAAATTTTAATATTCAGAACGACTGAAATTTGCAAACAAGAATCAAACAGGTTTGTCTGTGTGCTGACGGCTTTCTGGTGTTACTGCCATTGCTGTAAGATTAGCAAGCTGACAACTCTCTCTGGCCATGTATTCAAGGAGAACCATATACAAATATTTTGGAAAATAAATGTATTTTGAGAGATACATTTGGTTTGTATATTATTTGTATATTCAACATCATATGCTAATATACAGAACTGCTGCTCTCATCCTACTCTCACTATCCACTTTTTTTTTTTTAGTTTTTTTAACCATCTGAAATGTCTGAGTGCTGCACCCTGCTGTTGGGAACACAGAATAACCGTCTCTGTTATTGCCAAACACGAGCGCCCCCTAGCGTTCAGTAATAATTAGTTCTGGCAGGTGTGGTAATTACGCCGCTGCATGAAAACGCAAGGGGAAGGCCGGAGAAAGGTGGGCGGAGGCGCGGCGGTACCTTGATGGCCTGTCCGAAGCACCCCTTGCCCAGCACTTCGCCGTGGATGAGGTCAGACGGGCGGAAGATGCGGTGCGTCCGGTTGGACACGACGCGCAGCGATTCGGAGCGGCCGATGTCCTTCCGCTGCGACAGCGGCGAGGCCGTGTTGCTGGAGCACGGTGACTTGTCGATGCTGTAACTACGCCTGGGCGGGGGGGCGGGTGGGCGGGGGGGAGGGAGACTTTCAGCACTAGCCACATACTCGGCGACTTGTCCTCCCAGAACAACAGTTTTCCTCCATTAATACAGACGCTTAATGGGAGTAGCTTAGGTTACAGTGCCCCCCCCCCCCCACCCATCTGCTCCTCTACCCCCACCCACTTACGAGTTCATCTCGTGCCCCCCCAGCAGCATACTCACGTAATGACTCTGGTACGCAGGCTGTGGATATCCGAGTTGGGGGGGTGCGTAATCGGCCCCACAGGGCTGCACACTTCCGAAAGGGGGCTGGGGCTGTCCAGCAGGTCCCTGGAGCCCCCCTGGTCGTGGGGGTCATGTTCGATGGTCAGCTGCAGCAGACGGCTGGTTTCCTGGATGAGCTGGTCGATCTGGGTTGGAAACAGATGGGGTGGGTCACATGCTATCCGGTCCACAGCCCATTGGCGGAGCGTGTTCAAAATGCCGCTCTCCTTACCTCATCCAGCGGAACGTTCCGGATGGGGGTCCCGTTGATCTCCAGGATCCGATCCCCTACGTGTATGGAGTTCTTTACATCTGGGCTAATGCACTCGGAGTCCACCCTGTGCAGAGACATGGGTCAGCGTGAGATGGCAGAGCAGACAGCGGTTGCTGTTGTGCCTGTTCCTGGTTCCTGGGCCCAGCAGACTGATGTGTCCATGACAGCTTGGTGGATAATCATTGTGCAGTAAACACAGCAAACTCATGGTCACCCACCAATTTCTTTCTTTACTAAAACGTACTGGCAGGGAACAATTGTTAAGAATTAAATTTAATAAGTTGGAATGTTTTTAAGTGAAGTGGAAGTGGTTAGTTGTCATTGGTGACACACCACATCACACAGTGCACGACAACAAAATGTGTCCTCAGCATTTAACCCATGTGTGACACTGTGACATAGCAAGGGGCCGCTAATTCAGCACCCGGGGAGCAGTGCTTGGGGACGGTACCTTGCTCAGGATGCCTCAGTGGTACTTTGCTGTTTGGGGATTCGAACCAGCAAAGGAAGAGGATAATTTCCACAGTTTTATATCAAACGGCTATTGGGATACCCCCTTCACCTGATGATAGGGGACCTCACTTTTTTTTCAGTCATTGATCCCAAACATTGTTTTGGTACTGAGTTTGGGGGGTTTCTCAGAATAAACTGAGGGTGAACTTACATTTTTGGTTAAACCGTCAAAATTTTAACTTTGTTGTCTTTTCCTTAAAAAAATATGCATGGGAGGCTAACAGCAAAGCATAGTTTGGCAAACAGAGCAAGAAATGTCCTTTATTTTCATGACAAAAAAAATATTTAAAACGTGACATTTCAGGACGTGATAAGCTGAATCGGGTCGGTTCTCACACTTTCCTCCGGTCAGTGCGCTTAGCTGATTGTACCTGTTAGTAGAGGCAGACATTTCAGGTCCAGAAAGTAAAAATCCAGACCAGGACTTATTTTGAACCAACCAGTTCAATATGAAGAGTCACCGTCATGGAGTATTTAACTACTGAATGAATGGTTACATGGAATGAGCCTGTGTCGGAAACTGGGTCCCTTAGCAGATGTCGGCTGTTCTGTCCGATAGTAAAGCGAGAGCTTTAATGGATGTGGCCCCTCCTCCCGGCTCCCCGGAGACCCCGTGCACTCACTCCGACACTCGGACCGTGTGGCCGTGCTCCGCCGGGACGCCGTTGTGGCCGAAGCCGTTGGCGCTGCAGCCCTGGTCGATGGAGACGGAGAATCCTCGCTTGCCATCAGTGGAGGCCGGAATGGACACCAGGGTGACCGTGTGGGGGATCTTAGAGCAGGGGGAGTCTGGCAAGGTCACAGGGGTCACGATGGTCTGGTAGTAGCAGTGCCCGCTGGGGGGAGAGGATCATTTCCACAGTTAACCCTCTGGGGTCTAGGGGTTGGGAGCACACTTTCACTGACTGGTCACACATTTCATTCAATATCATAAACTTAATTCATGGCAAATAAATTATTTCTTATATATTAGTTTTGGCATTACAATCTTAATTTTAATGTATATTGTAAATATGTCAGATTTATGTTAAGTTTGTAATTCGACATCAAAAGTATAGAACACTTGCAGAAACATTATAAAAGTACATAGTAAGCAATGGTGGCAGTTTGTTTTGATCCCAGATATCTGTTCACCAAAGTCTTGGGTACATCAACATGACTAAATGGCGTAGTTGCAATATTCAGTTGGATAAGAGAAAGCTAACTCATGTCACAATTTCTGGCCACCTGCCATTGAATATGTAGGAGCTCTCATGTGTATGAGCGAGCCATTCACACCTGGCCA